TAGGTTAGAGGCCATCGCTAGTAATTAGGTTGGAGGCCATTGCTATTAAGTTGGAGGCTATTAGGCAAGTTTGCATCTGCGTCACGCCCCTTGAGATATGAAGACTAACCGTGGAAGTGACAGTGATCTCAGAATCGCACTGCACATCTCGCCTCTTGCGTCTCTCGGGCATGGTTTTGGGAACCTGCCACGCACTTCTTTCCTCCGAATGCTTGTGAAAGGGATAGAAATATTCTGGCTAAGAAATATGGTGTTTCTTGCATGCTAAAGGCTGGCGAGTCTTAGGCAGGCCTCCAACCTTCTAGCGACGGCCTCCAACCTAAATAGGGATAGCCTCCAACCTACCAGCGATGGCCTCCAAGCTAATAGCGATCGCACTTACCTGTGTGACCATGTGTATGACGATGTGAGCTGATGCCTGTCACGCCCTTTCTTTGACGATGGAAGCATGTGGCACGCTGCACTAGTGAAACCTGAAGATTGTGAGGCCGAGCTTGCCTTTCTGAATTTGCTGGACCTGCTCTGCACTACACGGGAATGTCAATGATTGGCATGGTGTTGACACTACGCGCATGCTGGTAATATCGAGCAATGACTTGAGATGGAGTTCCAGCGTTGTCTCTCCGCATGGCCACCTGAAAGGGCAGGCTGGTCGAGGCCTCAACCAAGAGTCCAGTCGCTTGCCGCACTAAAACTGTGGGTTGTTCCTGTGACCTCGCGGCAGCTTCTCGATGTGCAAACTTGCGTGCAGCTTCTTCCTCGTCTGGATCTGCGGGTAGTGTCACCAAGCTGGTGTCCTTCTCAAGCGCTTCCCTGCCAAGCTTGACAGCTGGTAGTCCTTCTTGAGAAGACAACTGGGTCACGAGCTTCGCGAGCTTTGCATCAACTGCTTTGCTCCCACTTTGCTTTCGAAGCTTCTCAGCGGCATCTGCTGAAGACTTCTCAGCATCTTCCTGTTGTCCCAAGGCCGTCTGCGCCTTGGCCAAGAGTGACAAGGCTGCAGCTGCGAAGTCATTGAGTCCAACAGCTGAGGCTAACAGCTGTGCTTCCTTGGCATTTTGACGTAAAGATTCCCATGCCGTCTGTGTAGGTTCTCTACTGCCGGACTCTAATGCCATGAGCTCTGCTCTTGCTGCTTCAAAGGCAGCTCGAGCAGTTCCCATAGTATCCCCATCCTGCTTAAAGAGCCGGCATGCTCTTTGTGCAGCTGCCCGTGCTGCTTTGCTTTTACCTTGATGTAGAGACACTTGTGCCGAGATCAACAAAGCACTTGCTTGTGCACCCTGAGCACCTGCCATTTCAGCCAAAGCCTGGGCTCGTAATGCCATTTGAGCGGCACTGCGAGGGTTTAGAGACAAGACCTCAGTCGCTTTCTCCAACCATGTGGCAGCATCTTCAAGAAGATCTCGCTTTGCAGACGCATCTACTTCCATGTGTTACATGGAACAAAAGCTCCTTCAAGCTTCTCACTTGAGCCACAACTTCAGACTTTGTCTGCACACGGCCTCCAACCTAATAGACTTGAACTGTTGTTTGTTTTTCAGAATGAATAGCTACCATCTGCTAAATATGCACAGACTGTGCCTGTCCTCGCCGAACATACTGTGCTTAGTGCAAAGATGCCGTTGCTGAAAGAATGTCAGGTCTTTGTGATATGTTTCGAACAAAAAAGACAAACTGCAAAAATATTTTTGAAACATATGTTTCTTTTTGGCAGACACATGTTTGTCTGAACTCTTGGCTGCCTCTTTGGGTTTTGCCTTGGGCGCCTTCAGAGAGGAGAGCCAGTCCTCAGCACCGTCTGAGCACACCGACGCTGAGCATGGCATGATAATGGCATAATAGTAGCGTCCTTGCTCCTAGTAGCGATGCCAGGAGCCCCTAGTAGCGTTCTTGCTCCTAGTAGCGATGCCAGGAGCCCCTAGTAGCGTCCTTGCTC